AGGTTGCTTTTAAGCACCCGTGTGTCCCTTTTGGGCCCGAAAGTCGAAACTTTTGGATGGTCGTGGGGTGACCGAGAGAGGAATCCGGTAAGAAGTGCCAGGAATCACCCGCTCAGTGGTCTGACAATGCAGCAGCTGACTGGTCTTTTGAAGACTGGTCTTTTCTGGAATTGGTGTAGAGGCGTTTGGAAGGTCGCCAAATGCTCGTGATGGTGCACGCGGAACCAAAGGTGCCGTTGTACGCTTTCAGTCCTTGCCAGGAATTAAGAACAAATCCAGAGTGTGCAGAATGTCGAAGACGGTCGTGAGTCGGGGAGTTTTTTGCAGGAGCGGTTGACGATTTGGAAGCGTCCAGTCGCCGTCAGCAACAGAGATGTTCAGATAGGGACCTTGTCCGACACAGAATCCAGTACTCTCGTGTGTTTTGGCTCGGCGGGGATCAAGTCCGTCGGGGCCAAAGACGCAAAGGAGGAGCGGAGACTAGTAGCGAACAGCGCGTTCGTGGACGATGATGGTCTTGGAATCTGAACCGATGGAGATCTCTGGGCGACTGATGACGACTGGCGCTTTGTATGACTTGGTGTACATTGTGACTTGTGTGGTGGAGCTTGTAGGAGGTTAGGCGGTGACGAGCGTCACCATGCGCGAGGTAGCCGAGCGGAACCAAGCGCGTGCCAGGACAAGCCGAGAGGAGTCGGAGGTAGGTGGAGGGTTCGTCGTCGAGGTGGACAGGTGGGTCGTCTTGCGGAGCAGCGGTCGCGATCGAGTGAACGAGGCAAGAGCCGTGTGCAAGCGGGAGGGATTTGATTAGGAGGGATGGAGGGATGGAGGTGAGGCTGGAGAGCAGAGTGGTTATAAGGAGGGAGGAGGGATAGGCAGTCGAGCAGGAGTGAGTCGTTGGAGAAGGCGGCAGCGCAGCGGTAAGAGCGTCGGTGCGTTATGAGACAAGGCTGCTGACTGGGTAAACGGGCAAGGCCGGGCGGGAGGCAAACAGGTGGCCAGAAGGTTGCAGTGGCAGACGAGAGAGTGGAGTGGAGAGGAGAGGAGAGAATAGTCTGGAGGCGGGAGAGTGAGGACAACAGAAGTCTAGACGACTGGGGAGGATTTGACAAAGGCCATGATGTGTGATGCAGCGTGGCTGATTCTTGGGGGGGGGGGGGGAGAAGAGTCACTGCACGGCGCGGGTGGCGGGCTTTTTGATATGGATGGCACCCGACTGCGACTGCGACTGCGACTGCGACTCCCACGTCCACCCACCGGCGAAGGCCAAGCCCGGGCAGGGCATGACTGGACTCCCGTCGACCCTACCTTACCCTACCCTACCACCGCGCACGGACCGCCATGGGCTCCGCGACGGCCAGGGCCACGGCCACGGCACCCAGACGGCGCTCCCACTCGATTGCACGCACGCAGAGAGCGGAGGGATGCCGACGGACGCGGTGGCTACAGTGTCCAGCGTGTCGTTTGCCGCTGGTCGCTTGGGAACGCACCTATGTAGGAGTAGAGCGATGCGTGTCCCGTCGGACCCCGCCGGTGCCCAGAATAAGACGAGGCCGGGGTGCTAGATCGGCTTTGTTGGACGCTTTCAGCTTGTGTATTAGCCACCCTTTGACTGGTACTGTACCACCTGTTACGTTACGCTTGCGGCCAGTGGCCGGTGAGGCGGGCAGTCAGTAGACAGCGCTTGCCACTCGCTGGTGCCTGCCCGAGAATTTTCCGCCGCTGACTCACTTACGTCTCGCCACGGCCAGGCCACCTCTTTGTCCCACGCCCCCTCGTTTGCGCTAGACGTGGCCACTCACCAACACCTCGTCCAGTCACGCGTGCCACTATTACGAAGAAGAGCGGTCAACAAAACAACTCTGCCGCTCGTGACTTCGACGAGAGCATCCTTCTTCGCCGTCAGCCTCGCCCTGCGCAGCTCTTCCGAAGAAACCGAGAAACCGACTGTCTCTTCGTCGGCCGAATACTGCATCCAGTGCTCGGCAACCAAGACCTCATTCTTTGCCGCCCCAACCATCCAGCAACCGACCAACCTAATCGCTGCATACCTTACAGCGACATACATTACCTTCGGTTACTGCGCACCCTCATCATCATCATCATCATCATCGCCGTCATCGAGAGCGGGGAAGCCCTGTTGCTTTTCCATGGCACCACCACTGCAACCCTCAGCCTGCCCCCAACTCCGCAAATCTCCTGACATTCCGCCCATGAGCCTGCCTGCCGCAGAAGCCATCTGGAATCGCGCTATTTGCTAGTTGCAGGCCAAGCACCCCCCAAAGGTTAACAAGTCGCCTTCTAGAACACTTTCGGAAGCCCGGCTGCGGGCGTGACGAGGCTTAGTGAACAAGTCGTGTACAACGCGTCCACACGTCCGAGACCATGAGATTTTCTTCTTTGCATAGCTGCAGTACTCCTTATCAGGTGCTGTCCTAAATGCAGAGCAATCATCTTTGCTGAACCACCGACAAGGACACCCCTTTTCGCGTCTTGGCCGCCATGTCGACCAAGCCTCGAAACATGGTAGCAGCTAAGCTTCGGCTTGATGCCTGAGCTGTTGGGCCATCACAGGTAGGTCAACCCCGCTTCTGCCGCACCTCTGCTGCACCACCTCCGACCACTATCCCCTCTGGAGCAAAGAAACAAAATCTAAACCCTCTTCCAAATGTCTTGGGTCCTCACGGGACTTGGCCGCCGCCTGTTGCGCCCGCACATGGCGCGCCTCAAGGCCTGCCCAATCACCATGACGCACCCTTGCCCAAGCCTCACACGCGCCCCAACACCGCCTCGTCTTCGCTCCCCAAGAAGCATTCGTCCATGTCAACCGTTTTCAACCGGGCCGCCGCTCCTCCAAAATCATCATGACGGCACTGCGCCTCCCCCTGGCTCATGGGATGCACACATGCACCTCATCGACCCGGCCGCCTTCCCCCTTGCCCCCAACGCCAAATACACTCCATCCGCCCACACGCTCCACCAAGCCCAGTCCTTTTACGCCTCGCACCCGCTCCTCGCGCCTCTGGCCAACCTCGTCATCGTGCAGCCCTCCATCTACGGCACCGACAACAGCTGCACGCTGGCCGCGCTGCACGCGCTGGGCCCGGACCGCGCGCGCGCCGTCGTCGCCCTGCCGCCCGACGCGTCCCCCGACACGCTGTTTGCGTGGCACGCGCTCGGCGTGCGCGGCGTGCGGCTCAACTTCAAGAGCGTCGGGCGCGCCGTGACGGCCGCCGAGCTGGGCAGCGAGCTGCGCGCCGCCGCCGACGCCGTGCGCGGCTTCGGTTGGGCGGTGCAGCTGTACTTGGGCCTCGAGAGCGTGCCGCTGCTCGAGGACGTCGTGCGCCAGGACCCGCCGCTGGGCGTGCGCATCGTGATTGACCACCTGGGCCACCCCACGCTGCCAGACTCCCCAAAGCCCGGCAGCGACGCGCATCAGGGGGCGGGCGGTGCGAGTGCGCGCTCCAAGGGGGCCGAACACGACCACGACCCCTACACCCTCGCCGGATTCGCCAGCCTCGTCCGCCTGCTCCGCGACAGCAGCAGCACGTGGGTCAAGCTGTCCGGCGCGTACCGCATCGAGTCCGACCCGGCGCTGCCGTGGACGGCGGCCATGGCGCGCGAGCTGCTGCGCGCGGCGCCGCGGCGCGTCGTCTTTGCGACCGACTGGCCGCACACGCGCTTCGACGGGCTCGACGTGGTGCCGTTTGTGGAGCGCTGCCTGCGGTGGTGTGATGGCGATGAGGCGTTGGTTGATAGGCTGTTTCGGCGGAATGCTGAGGAGCTGTTTGATGTGAGGCGGTAGGTAGGACGGTGGTGGTTGGAGAGAGGGAGGGGAGGGGGTGTTTGTGGAAAGGGGTACGGTGGGTGGGTGTCGACAGCAAATGAGACTCCCTGGGTCTGGCTGTAGCAGTAAACAGTACCCCTTAAATGCAGCTGTAGCAGGGAACGAGTCCTCCCTGAACGCACTCGTACTGCCAGGCGGCCTCATCTCTCATTTCTTCGAACACCCCCCTGTGCCGCGAGGGTGCGAGCACAGAGAAGATATATCCCATCACTTTCGCACCATGCCTCAGTACCTAGGTGGCCAAAGACATCCACTGCCCACCCCGTCCCATCTCTCCTTTCCTCTCGTCTCCTCTCGTCTCGTCTCCTCGCCACACCGTCTAGACTTGACTGTACGTACGTAGACTTGTGCTCAGGCGGGCCGGTAAACAAAGCCGGACGGCCGCCGGATAGACAGACAGTCGACCTGCTCTTCCGAGAAAAGCCGGGCAAGTGGTCGGTGGATTTCCACATTGCTGCGTTTGCATTTGCGTGCGTCCTTGGGCTCTGCCCTGCCTGATTGAGCGACTGGTTGACTGAGTCTGACTGAGTGACTGGCTGAATGACTGCGTCGACGTTGTGCAGGAGATGGAGAGAAGAGGAGAGGCTAGGAGGAAACGAAGCGAGGTTGTGGATCATGTCATGTGGATGATGTGTGTTGGTGCGGTGCCAGCTACCTGCCTACATGCGTCGGCAAAGAGGGGAGAGAGAAGAAGAGTAAATGGGTGAGTAGGGGCAAAGAGCAAAGATGATGATTAGAGGAGGGGAAAAAATGAAAAAAGAAACAAGAGAGAAGAGGTGGGCGTCGTAAATGTACACACATAAAGAGTCAGTGTAGAAGGATCGTAACTGCTCGACGTACAAGTGGAACCGCTTCCTGTCTGCGAGGATCCAGTATTGAATAAAATAATTGAAAGTGTTCCGTCACCCATAATTCTCCCTTCCTTCAGTTCACTGCACAGCAGCGACGACGACGACACGTGCCAGTGTGCCATGGTTATAGGAGGAAGGCACCCACTCGACGCTCCTTCCTCCACCTTCCACCTCCCCCAATGCCCCCGACCACACCAAAAAAAAAAAAAAAAAAAAATCAAAAAGTCAAAACCACGAAAACATCTCCCAAACGTCCCCCCCGCCACCAGCAGGTCAAAAAACAAAAAGAATCGTGGGAATTGAGCCCAACGCGGGGGTCGAACCCGCAGCCTTGAGATAACCTCTTTTTCTGACATGTAGAACCAGTAAGAGTCTCACGCTCTACCGATTGAGCTAGCCGGGCGGCTTGTTGATGGAAAGGGAGTGTGGAAATTAAAACTTATATTCTTTAACTATCTCTAGGTTGTAAAGAACATCGAGGGGCTTTCGAAGGGGGCGCTGGGTGGGTGGTGATTTGTGCGAGGAGAAGTGAAGGGATGGGTAATGCTTACGGCCCTTTTTGTTTTTCCCGCGTTGCCGCCGCCCCGTGGTATGTAGAACAGAGAGATTGTGTGTGATGACAGAGAGCGCGTTCATCCTACTAACTGGCAGCCGTCGGCGGACCCTTCAGCTACACACATAATGCGATTTGTGTCTGGTATATTGAATGGTCCGTTGGTTTTTCTTTCTTTTTTCTTCGCCTGATTTTAGGTTTTGCACTTGTTGCTTTCGACGGAGAGTTTTTTGTTGCGCGTGATTCGTCTATTGAGGACTACTTTTGGTATAAGTGGTGTGCGGTGTAGCTTCACCCTTTTTCGAGACTCTCTATGTTCACGCTCTGCCGAGTTCATCGACAGTGGGAAACATTCCGCTCGCTACTTTGGTTTCTAGTTCCTGGATGAATGTCGGCGCGGCGCGTAAGCTTGCCGGATCGACCTCCAATATTCATCAAGACGATGATTTTCTTCTCGCCACCGGTGAATCTTGACCAAAATATCATCAAGAACTTTACAATTCTTCTTGCCACCGGGCACATCACATCCCGCACTCACCTAAAGAGGCCGTGTCACGCACCCCCAGCAAGTCACACCTCGTATTATTCCGCGCAGACGCAGATAAGAAGAGACACTGTGCTCCTACACACCGTGTAGACAACAACTTCATGCTCCTCCCGCAGCCGCGTGTGTCACGACATGTCTTTCGTCCCTCCACGTCCTCGATCTTTTGCTGGTGGCGCCAAGCTGAGACGGAGACATCACCGATCGAGGCTCCTGTATAACGTGGGACTCCCTCTCAGTTTGCAACGAAATGCTTGCGCTGTTGTTCATCACCTATTCAGACCTGCGAATGCTACGTACCTACCTACCTAGGCGCCCGCCCATACTTTTTGTAGCGTGTGCCACGACTTTGTCCCAAACCACGGATGGACATCGGGACGGTTTTGTTAGTCGCCAAAGAAAGCAGCCGGACGCGCAGAAATTTTGTTGAGATGTGGTACAACCAAAGCAACATCCTCACCAATTCATGCACCACGTCCAATTGCGCCACGGACGGCTTGGTCAGCCTCCGGAACCATCATGGCCTCTTGGATTGAAGCCACGCAAACTCCTCAATGCAGCCTCCAACGGATGCGAGAGCAACCAAACACGCGAGCGGAGGCGCCACCGCTGCCCACACAAATCAATTGGAGCAGGCTCCCAGGCCGATGGGATCGTCACGCGGAAACCGCCCTTGGAGACTGGGGTAAACCAAAGCAGCTGACCAGGTTGACGGATTGGGCACGGAAATGGCGGTGTGCAGTGGAGTGTGCCTAAAAAACTTCAATTTGCAGTCTTCTGGCCCGTGAAGATGAACAGAGAGTCCGCCGTATGTAACCCCAGGACCAGCCTTTTGGCAAAAACGACGAGTCACATCACTGGCCCGGCTGCCTGCCTACATATTGTTCCTGGCTCTTGCAGAGGTAATTAAAAAAAAGAGGTCTGAAGGACGGGGGGGAGAGGCGGCGAGCCAACGTGGCTGTCCAGGGTCCTTGAGAGGTGCAGCAGAGAGGCGCTTGCAACGGCCTCGATGAGAAGAAGCCGCCAAAGAAGTCGAGTGCCGCAGATGGACGCATCGGGAAGCGGAGACGTAGTGACACTGTGCCTATGCCTGTAACGGTCAGGAGTCGTAGTGGTCTGCGTCAAGAAAGTCCAGTGGGTGGCACAGGCACGCGTCGAGGTGGTTCGCGCCGTACACGGCAGTGCGGATAAACGGGCGCCATCGCGATCGAGTCGGAAAAAATCAGCAGGTCGCGACGCATTGGACGGATGGAGCGCGAGGGCCGACGCGCAGAGGTGCCGAAAGGGGACGGATGAGGTTGTACAGACAGCGGCAGCATGCGTCAAAAGAGATGGCCGCAGAGGCGCACGGCCGCGCCCAGGACCCTTGCAGCCTCAACCTCCTGCTTTCCTTGCTCCACCGTCCATCTCCTCCTCCTCCAGACGCTCCATCTCCTCAGTTCCGCTCGACTGTGCCGCCTTCATGTCGTCCGAGCTCGTATCGCTTGTTCATTCTCTGCTCGGCGCTCTCATCTCGCCATGAACAATTTGCAAACTACGACGCCCAAAAAGCAATCGCCAAAAGCAAATTTACGCCCGCCAGGACCCCATCAACAATCACACTCCCCATCGCTCCGGCGCAGCCTGTTCCAGACGAATGAGATGCCTCGACACAGTCGGCCGGCATTGGCCCGCCAAATCATGGCATAGGATTTCCCGTTACCCAGCCGCAGCATGCAATCTCTACCTGTAGGTATTCTTGCAGTGAGCTGCAGAAGTCGTCGAGTTGCACAGGAAAAAATGGGCTCAAGGGCCCCGACATTGCTTGGGAACGGGGCGGCCTCCGGACGCCTCCTATCAGATCCAAGCCTGACCAATGTCTCCTCTCTGGACGTAGCCAACGCGTCTCCGAGTAGAAACGGATTGCTCCCCACCATTCAAAGCTCTGCTTGCTTGCCGCGCCCCCAGCAGCCCAGCCCAGGACCGTGGGCTCCTCCAGGATTCACATCTGCATATGAAACGGACGTATTTAGGCCCTTCTCCGGCCTCCCGTCCCCTCAAACCTCTTCCAAACCTCCAGCTCTGCAAGTCGTTCGTATCTCAATTGACGTGGCTTATTAAAGCCTCTGCTACTTCCTCAATTGATCATAATCGTTCTCCCCGATGAAGAGACCTGGGCCCATGTTCCACACCATGGTTGCTGTAACCCAACCCAAGCCTTCTGGGCTGCCTGATTACCTGACCGACCCCGATGCCGTGCTTAAGGATCAGGATGTCAAGTGGAGATATGGCCGGGCACCAGATTATAGCAAGACTCGCAGGATGTATGCAGAGAGTAAGTGGGCTTTTCATTCGTCTTTACTTGGGAAGCAGAGCATTGGACATGCACACGAGGGATGCTGTGTTGCATGAAGGACCCTCTGAAACCGAAAAGACCCCTGAGATTTGTGACGATTCTGGTCGATGCACACAAAATCTTGTTTGCTCTTGCATAGACCGCCAACATGGTAAACCGTTAACTAATCGAGCACATTAGCCAAGAAAATGTCTCATGCTGCTGGTAGTCTCCACCATCTCGTCGAGAATCTAGTCAAGAACTGGGAGGTTGAGGCATCCTTCAAGACCGACTTAGCAGACTGGAGGACGATTGACCGACCAAACTACACCTTCGCCATAAATGGCGGCCCCCCTCAGAGCGGAGAGCACATGCTCAACGTTGGAACTTACAACGCCATCATCTCGCCCAACGAGTACTACAGCCCGGAGAATTCCGACTTTGCCTCTAGCCACAAGACGTTCAAAAGAATGATGCCCACCTTTGCCTGGGAGGTGCTTGAAGTTTACAGCGGCCCGCCTCAAGTTGCCTTTCGATGGCGACACTGGGGTGTCATGAAGAACGACTATGTTGGCTTCAATGAGTAAGTCGCCGTCACCAAAGCACCCGATCAATCTTAACGTCGAGCAGCCGCGGCGAAAAAGTCACGGCCAAAGCCCACGGCGGCTCCATCGACATCCAAGGCGTCACTGTCGCCAAGGTCGACGACAAGGTCCGGCTGCAACGAGTCGAGACGTGGTTTGACCCGATGGACATGTTCCGCCAAATCGCACCACAGGGCATCGTAAACAAGGAGCCCATCGCGCCAAAGGTCAGCAGCCGGTCACCATCGCCGCCACAGCAAACAGCGACATCGTCTGAAGCTACTCCAACGCAGGGAACGCCGACGACGGACGAGCACGATCTCGCCCACCGCCCCAAGTGCGAGCGCTCCCGGTCGAGCGAGTCGTACACGGGCAATCAGCCGGACGTGGCCGACCACTTTCGCAAAATCTTCACCGGCCCCCAGGGCCGCACCGGCTGCCCCTTCATCTCGCGCCAGATGTCGGATCCCAGCGTGCCCACCATCATCACGCCCGGCGACGAGCAAGAGGCCGCCGAGGAGCAGTGGCACGACGCGCTGGACACGGAGTACCGCGGCCGCTCGGACGAGACGAAGCCGCTCAACTCGACCACTGCCGACTCTGCTGCTGCTGCTGCCTGTGCTGGTTCTGCCACCACCGCTACTGCGGGCGTTGTTCAAGTCGCCCCCTCGGATAGCTCCGACACCAGCCGCAGCGGCAGCAGCAGCTGGACGGCCGACACGCCGCCCGAATCCGGCTCGTCGCCGTGCCCATCCATCGGCAAAAACGACGACGCGGCCGCATCTGCCCATCCGCACCGCAGGGACATGGAGGAGCAAGCCGTAGGCCTACTACCAGGCGAGGGCGTAGCCGTGGCCCCCGACAGTGACGAGACGAAAAAGACGCGCGAGGAGATGAGCCACATTGCACCGCATGAGTGCCCGCATCTCATGAATCGCGAGTGAATTGGCGGGGAAAGAGAATGTGGAGCGTAGGGTGGGTGGGTGTTGCTTTTCTGTCGGTTGGTTGGGACTTCTTGCGTTGGCTAGCGAGCACCGTTTTATTGTGGTTAGATGTATGGTTCCTAGTATTTTTCTCACATAGTGCGTCGTCATGAATTTGCTAGTAATATGTGGTACCCAATGATTTGCGACTAGCATCGTGGGTCTGGCAAATGCCATTTGCTTTGCAAGAGTCGAGCGGTCTTGGGGGTAAGTTTCGTGATTGTAGGGTCAAGAATTTTCAGTGGCACACCTGGCGACGGCAACACGCAAGTTGAGTACTGACTCCAGTAACGAGAAGCAATTCTGAATTAGAGTGATTTGGTTATGCTGCAGAACTTTCCCCTCAGCCGCCCCAAGTCAACGCGTAAACTCCGCCCGATGAACCTTTCCAGACAACTTCGATGGCACCTCGAGAAGCTGATCGC